CGGTGTCGAGTTTTGAGTTTTCAAAATTTCTTATGGCTAGCGCCGTCCTTTCAAAGTTCACTCCGCCCACTGTGGGTGTGTCTCCCTCGTTTTATGTTCCTATCCGTTTCCTATCGTTTTTCACTTTTTTCGCTTTCCTGGCTTCTCTGGTATCGAGGTATTAATTCCGAAATGTTCTGTGACAGGCGCCGCTATTTAAAAAGCACTCCGCAAATTCTGGGTGTGTCCTTCTCGTTTCATGAGCCTATCCATTTGCCGTTCCCTATATTTTTGCTCACCGGGCTTCTCTGGTACCGAATTATAAATTTTTGAAATTCTATGACAAGCGCTCCCATTTAAAGTGCCCTGATTGACTCTTGACTAAAAGCCCACCCCTGTCCCACCTACTGATTCGGCCTCTCGAGTGGCTCTTCAGCGGATGCCGATTTAGCTCTTCTGACGGTTCTAGGCTAGTACTTGCATGTACGTGAAGTTGTTTGCCAACTAAAGGTGCTTTATAAAAGGCATGGAATCGTGGATGCTAGTCGAGATGTGCACGGTATTCTGCTCACTATCTTTTCTCCACCAGGGCTTTTTCACTCTGTTCCTGGCTTCGTTCTCACAATCAACAATCTTAGTCTTCTTCCACCTAATCTTATATGTCTCACCCATGCGTAAAACTTCGCTCCGACTGCGTCCAGGATGCACTGTATGTAACAGCAAACGTAAACAAGACCAAGAGGTCATTTTAGTAATTGTGTACCTGTTTGTTCATTTTGCTGGAAGTCACTTTATTCTGCATGTTGACGATAATTGATCAGCATGTTGACGTTAAATTAACATATAACGCAGTAGTTAGCTACAAAAGACATACCGGCAAATAAGTGAGAAGCGCACAGACAGATCAAAGCACCATGTGCGAAGTTTACATAGCAAATTCAATCATAATGTTCTCATCTAAGTGTCTCATCCTAACTGGGCAACAGGCAAGACAAGCGGAATTTTAGACAACCATTTTCAAATTGATAACAAGGCAACGAAAGATTTAAACAATATTTCAGTAGTCTTCAACCTGATTAACTGAGCCACGAAGGAGAAAGCACAGAAGCGAATAAAAATCCAGGAGAAGCAATAATTGGTGAGAGGACGTATGGAGTAAGTACGAAAGCCGAGACAGCTGGTGGAGAGAGGATCAGCGGTGAAAGAACGAACGGAGAGAGAATAAGGGGAGACAGCACGTTTGGGACGATAATGAAAGGCGACAGGCAGAATGGACTCAAAATGAGAGGTGTCAGTGCGACTGGATTAATGATAAATGGTGAGAGAACATGAGGGCTAAGAATGAATGGTACAAGTGCTCCTGGGGAAAGTATAATGGGATGGAGAGCAAGTGGAGTAAGCACAATAGGTGAAAGGAGGATGGGAGAAAGGATAACCGGCGAAAAAATACGAGGCGAAAGTATAAATGGAACAAAAGCCCACGGAGATAGAACTACAGGGCCGAAAATTGCAGGAGAGAGTACTACAGGAACGAGAAGCACTGGCGAAAGAACAATAAATTGTGAGATTATTACTGGATTGAGGACTATTGTAGTAAGTACTATGGGTGTCAGCACTATATCCTTTTCCCGTCGTGCCTTGAATGCAATCACCTCATCAGCCAAAGTCCTGATGGTTTGTTCAATGGCATTAGGTATCTCTGCCGCCGGAACATTCTTGAGCCTCTGATAAGTGCTTGCATTGGCGTAAGGCGAGCCGGCACCGTATACTAATTCTAGCTGCTCAGCGTCCATCACTGCATATCCAGTTGTGTTCATTGCTTTCATCTAGGAGAATGAGGCTCAGCCAATTACAAAAAAAAACACCTGAAGAAAGTTTAAAATTTTGTAGCTGCCCAGCCAGGGGCAAAGAAGGGTACAAGTTTGCTACTGGCTAATTCCAAGAATTCGCGTTAGCGTACCGAGCAGTAACACGGCGTTATGATACCCCACGCTATGGCAGTACAATTTTACGCACACGACAGAAGGGTTTGGAGGGAAGGCTGGATAGTTTCAGGCAGAATGGCATCTCACAGTCGTGCAATTGCAGCGTTTCCTATCGCTTCATTTCACACTGAGAAATGGGTGCATACTGCTTGGAACATGAAATGTTTCACCCCTGTTGAGCTATTTTGCTCAATTCCACATACTATCCTCACAAGAGGCGAATGAGCTCTCTCTACATGAATTCTTCCTATCCAACAACGTCTGATGGACTGTTTGATCCGTACCTGTGCGAGTGTGGAATTCTACCTAGGTTCGTGGACTTCTCTGGCGTAATAGGAAATATCCTGTTACAGTGACCGCTCCGCATCATGTGACATAGCTAAAGGCAAAGCCGGAAGCTCGCGGTCAAATTCTGGGTAGTGGGGCTCAAATATGGATGAAAAAGTGCCAAGACAGTCAATGGTGGAAAAAAAAGTAGAAAAGGTAGCCACCTGTGCATTAAATGAAACCTCCTTGCAAGGGCGATCGTACGAGCGGAGATCGAGCAAATGGTGTGATGTGGACGTGATCACCGGATAAAGATGCTGTGCCCCATATGTTTGCCGCAACTGATACCAGCCGATTCCCTATTGATACAACATTGTCCCCCTCACTGCGGGTGTTACCGTCAACAAATCTTCTGTTGTCTCGTAGCCGAAAAAAAGACACTTCCACCGAGTCACATATCAGCAAAGTTTTCGCAGCCCAGACAGAGGACGTGGATACGAGTACCAGGGCGGAAGATACCCAAGATGTTCCTCGATAAGCAGGAGCTGGCTCTCGCCCATCACCTTCATGTACACCAAAATATGAAGTCATCTCCAGTCGCAGCCTGACTGGAGAAGACCTTTGGAATTCATGTAACCTCCAAACAGCTGCGAAAACTTTGCTGATATGTGACTCGGTGGAAGTCGGAGCTGCGAAACTTCTTGCATGGAGTCACCCATGGACAGCTAGCTGGAGACCAGTACTCTTCATCTGGAAGACCTCCAACATCGAGCAGCTCCGACAACGTCGCTACGGTCTAGGACATCAGTCGCCAAGGCGCGGGTTGATGGTATGGACCGGACGTACCTGGAATGGAAAGACCGAATATTTTCTTCGTGGACCCCGGACTGAAGGTGAGCGCTGGCGGTTACATCGAGCAACTCGAGAAGAATATCCTCCCCACATGTCGTCGCCCGTACCTTCTTGGAAACTTTGTACTGCTACAGGATTGGGTGACACCACTTGGAATGGAAGGGCGTTGAGTACCTGAAGAAGATGGAATATCTAAGCAGGTCACCTGAACCTAAACCCCCTCAATTACCTGGTTCGGGCGGAGTTCAATAGGGTGGTCTACAGTGGCGGAGAAATCAACGATCTCGCTGAACTCAGGCACCCACTCACGGTCGCGTGGCAGAATCTCTCGATGGCGCTCCTCCAGAAGGCTGTGGCGGAGTATCATGATAGTATTTAATATGCTCTTTAATATGGTGGTAGAAATGTCCGATCAGAATTTAATAAAGTGTAACTTATAGCGCCTCGAAAGTCTAGGGAGAAAAGTGTCTTTATAGCCCCTCGAAAGTCTAGGGAGAAAAGTGTCTTTTTTTGCCCCTTCCCCTCCCTGTAAATTGCTTCTTCTAGGGAGTTATCACCGAAATGCGATTTTCTGTGAGCATGACTCCAGTGGGAGAACCATTGCACGTCCTGCTGTTGTGGAAACCTTTGCGAAATACGGTTTCCTTCAGAAAATTTCTCCTCACGAGGCGACTCCCCTCCCCGTTCACCACCACCCCCCCCCAGCTTTACTAACCCACCAGTTTTTTGAAACCTACCAACTTTTCCCTGCCTATCGTCTTTCTGAGCTTTCTACTACTTTTCGGGAGAAGTTCTCCAGTTCTCCCAAAAAAGGTGGGGAGGAGGAGTGGTATACAGGCTCAGTGAAACGGGGATACCAAGTAAGGTTAACAACTGAAGACGTTCTTATCAAAGCCCTTCTCCCCAGCGACCGAACGCCCGCCCCCCCCCTCCCCCTCTCACGTTTGCTCGAGAGTTCTAGTTCCAGAGCACGTCTCACGTTGGGGATCCTCAACGACCCTGAATAGACTCATAACCCAACACGAGTTGAAGCAAATGTCACAATATACTACGCAGCGATGTTGTCGCTTTGTCTAAATATATCCGTATAAGGAATTCACTACCTAAAGTTGCCATTACTATCTTCCAATCTTTAGCATTTTCCAAGAGCTGTTGATGATGATAATAGAAGGATTTTAATAAATATGTATGAACTGGCATTTTTTGGAGGTATGTTTTCTATAACGCACTCGTGCAGCGGTGATAGTATCTGCTTCCAAGCACCTTTTCAGGATCCTGTTTACTTTCCGCTTCCCTTTATCGTGAAACGCTTTGGATCAAAATTGCTAAATGAAGCTTACCTGGTTGGAGCTCAGAGATTTCTGCAACTTTTCGAGAAGCTCGATTTTGCTGCCTTCACTGTTGCCGAACATCTCCGTTATATTTTCCTTGGTGAAGTAGAGCGGTTGACCCTTTTCATTTCGGAATCCCTCATCCATCCGTCGACTGTCATTTCGGAATCCCTCATCCATCCGTCGACCGTCTTCAGCTCTGCTCACGTCCTACACTGAGAGTAACTTTTAACGTTTTCTTTACAAAATAAGGGGTATAAGATAAATAAAAAATATAACTACAGCTCTTCAGAAAATTCTAAGAGTCTAAGGAAAGAGCTTCTTGGAGACGTATTGGTGATGGTTGCACAAATTATGAAATGGAATGGTTTTCCGTATGACACAAAGTTACTACCACATAACTTAAAAAAATTAGAATCAGATGCAAGATTTGATGAGATCTGGACGTTTTTTCTCTATTTACTTTCTTCTCGTCCGCAGTTTTTTTCCTTCGGCAGTCGCTCCGTAGTGCTTTCCAAAGCATGGCACGGGTCCTTCACATGTGTTGCGGTCATTTGCAATGCATGAGGTGGACGACCCACCAGATCTCCGGAACCTGCAGATGAGGCGTCCCTAATCATTGTCAACGGGTACAAATCTCGGGATTTCTCCGGATTCCCTCCCTCACTTAAAACAGCGGAACTCAAACCTCAACCACACTTTCAGTAACGTTGAAAGACGCTGACCGCATGTTTATCCTGCTTTTGTAGAATCTCAAACTCCGAGGTGTAGGTTACGGCAGGAACGACCGAATCGATTGAAAAGGTTGGGCATGGACCTGAGTTCCTTGTTTTCTTCGCTACTCCCTCGATATTCTCAAATGATTCCCAAGCCGCTCGCGTCCTCCTGCTCAGCTGTGATGCTACGTCGTTCATTTCACGACTCCATGTGCTCAGCTCTCGTGCTAGTTCGTTCACCTGTCACATACGATGAATAGTCTCTGCATGAATCCAATTTGTTGATAGCGCATAAGTCACCAAGTTTGACATTCCATAATCCTCGGTATTGCTCTTATTTACGATTGTTTATTCTTTAGTTATATAGGAGGTTGGAAGCAATGTTATTGGCTGGATGGCGTTTCGGTGACTTCATTTCTTCGGTGACGAAAAGATGGAAATCGATGCGTAAACTGCCAGATCTTATGTCTCACACCCCTCCCATAGAGACTTTGACCCCATCCTACCCATCACGTAAACATTAGGGAGAGAAAATTACCGTTCTTTACCTGAGTTGAAGAGAACAGGAAGCTTTTAAACTGATCGCATTCACACTCCCTTAGGAACGCTAGCCTGATACATACGGGACCAGCTCCCCCGTAGCTGATGATCACCCTTCCCTTCGCTTCATTTTTGGATACGTTTCCTGTATCCAAGACAAAGGAGTCTGAATTCCGTGCTTAAGCTAGTAAACGTCGTCTGCAGTCCCGACTATAATCTAAGAATAATTAATACACATGTATATGTACATCAATACACAAGTCTTTTTCTAAACGGTTGTAGTTCAAATACGGTGAGGAGCACAAGAGTCAGACAAGCATAGTCAACAAGCAATAAGGTTTGAAGACGTCTCAACCTGAATAGTGATGAAGGCAATTGTGGCAGGAAAAAATATCGGTCAGAAATGACTACTGCTGATATCGGAATATTCGCCCAGTTTTTAGAGTACAACTGACCCGAATTTTAGAAACGGCATCGGAGACGCCAGAGGCCTCGATGACAAAGTTCAGCCATTCCTGATGTCCTTGTTCATCGAAGTACTTCATCGCCTTGGCTAGACTTAGAGCATCTTCCAGCCCCTTACCTTCATCGTGCAACGCAAGTAGTGACGGCGAAAGAAGACTGAGCTGAAGTGCATATTCATTTTCAAATATTCATCATTTCGCGTTTGCACTTACCTGGGAAGGTCGTTCAGGACGTGGAGCGCTTTTTGAAAACGGTTTTTTGCATGATGTGGGGTCACGTGCATGGAGTACCAAACTGACGTTCATTTTTCCTGAACGCCTCTGGGAATACCAAAAAGGAGTGAAAAAGAAGTCCATGGAAACCTATACTTTTAAGCCTCTGTGGACTCTTAACCACTTGCAACTACGACCAGTTGAGTGGAGGATCTTCATAAAGATACTATTGGAATCGAGGAGAAAAATGGTCGCAAATGGGGTATTACTCGTGGAACATGACTAAGAGTGAACGGCTCCTTGGATGGTCTCTTCAACGATCGGGGCCGTGTCCAGCTACAACGATGTGGATAAAGTTGAGGATTCTCAATCGGACAGCGAGGGTGGGGATTGATGGTTCGACTCCTCCTCGGCTGCGAGTTTTTGCATTTTTTATGTTCGCTGTTCTCGCTTCCATATATGTCTGTTTATGAATTTAACTCGGATATCTACCATTTATAGGCACATTCTGAAATAGTTACCCCATGAGTCGGTGCTATTCATAAATTTCGATTTTCGTGTACATTAAGCAAGAGCTTTTCTGAAAGTTTATCTTTATATGTCATTCAGTGTTCTGATCACGATTATGACACTTACTTTCAGCTGTAGTGCCATTTATCGCCAATGTGGGGCCGAATCTTCTCCTACTGGACTCGTTATATACGCTCATTTGAGGAACCATTCTGACGCCAACATGCGTCGACGTAAAAATTAAATGTCAGACTTTTTTGGGTTTGTGTATTGGGTAATGATGCTCAGGAGTCATTCTGTTGAAACCGCTTTTTTCTTGGTTACCGAAACCCCCATTCAGTGGTACAGAACATAGAACGCAGCAACGATAAATGTCATGGAAAAAAGAACGAAGCTGTTATCATTCCTCCAGGTGCATTTGAAAATGTGGAGGAAATTGAATGAGCCGCTTCTCTCGGTAGGAAAGGACGACATCCTTGTTGAGCGAGCAGTCAGTAGTCGACAAAAGTTCTGGATGTTTTTTCACGTATTCTGCGGCCACCCAGGCCTATAGCAAGTATAAAAGGGCTTTGAGCGCACCGAATCCTATCTTATGGCTGCCCGGCGCCCCGGCACTTCCTCGATACGTCATCGCCGCTCCGAAGGTGTGGGACTCCGGTCATCATTGACGATTGAAGGGTCTATCACAACCGAAGAAAAAAAAATTGTCTATAACGGTAATCGATGGTCGTGATCACGATTCTGACATTTATTTTTGCTGTCGACGCATTTTGGCGTCAGAATGGCCCTGAGAGTCCCTCAAATGAGCGCACATAACGAGTCCAGTAGGAGAAGATTCGGCTCCACATTGGCGATAAATGGCACTACAGCTGAAAGTGAAGTGTCATAGCGTGATCAGGGCATTGAATGACATGTAAAGATAAACTTTCAGAAAAGCTCTTGCTTAATGGTATGCGAAAATCGGAATTGATGAATGGGGTTCAGCTTCTCAGAATCTGCCTATAAATAGTAGGTATCGGAATAAATTCATAAACAGACATATATGGAAGCGGAACAGCGAGAACATAAAAAATGCAAAAACTCGCAGGCCGAGGGGAGTCGAACCATCAATCCCCACCCTCGCTGTCCGATTGAGAAACCTCAACGTCATACACTAGTGCATCATCATGTGCCACGAGTAAAACCCCATTTGCGACCATTTGTCCTCGATTCCAATAGTACCTTAATAAAGATCCTTCACTGCATTGAGTCCACAGAGGCTCAAAAGTATAGGTTTCCATGGACTTCTTTTTCACTCTTTTTTGGTATTCCCAGAGGCGTTCAGGAAAAATGAACACCAGTTTGGTACTCCATGCACGTGACCCCACATCATGCAAAAACCGTTTTCACAAAGCGCTCCACGCCCTGAACGAATTAGCTGGTTAAAACAGCATGATACTCACTGCTTCATCGTCGGTTCCTTCAGGAACAAGGGGGAAAAGACGGGGCGAGATCAGCTTAACACTTTTTTTGTCAAAGTTGCTGACATTTCGACCTGCTAGCATCATTCCGAGCTTGAGCCCTGCAAATGTGCCATACAAAATTTGAACTTGGTTCGGATAGATTAGATTCAAGAGAATTGGAAACGCTCGCTAAGTAGTACCCTTGGATCCTTCTACATATGAAACAGCATAGAACCCTTCTACCTTCTCTTCAGAGAAATTTGGTAAGAGCTGAAAACTTCCGTGACACAGAAGTTTTAGTCAGCTTACACATAAGATGTCACATGTTGATAATTAGGTCATCTCATTCGAACACGTGCGAAGTTTAAAGGACTGGCAGGAAAGCAAACGGCTAGGTGTCACGTGGTTGGGAAGCTTGTACATTTGGCTATGTAATGTATTGTTTCAGTTTGGTCAACAATGCTCAGAAAAACTCGAGTGTTCAAAATCAGCGCCGGTCATCGATTCGCCATCTGTCATACAAGGAACTGCCCTGCCCAAAGTAGTCGTGTGCTGCACCAATGGTCGCGCAAGATGGTGTTCTCGTATCCAATTTTGAAGACTATCTACAAGAAGTGCAAAGAAGGAAGCTCTTCTGACTGAGGCCGAAATATTATTTTATCTTACTTTTCATCTGTTTTCCTCTTCGTTTAATTGAATAGAACCTCTAATTTATTTCCCGCACAAGGGGAGCAGGTGGATTGAGTCATGCATCGATATCTCATGTAAGAGGATGGACCGTTGTCGAGCTCTCTCGCGTTAATTACATCCCTGCTGCAACCGTTGGCAAAGTTACGCTCGGAACATTTAGGATAGTGTGAAGGGCTCATGGTCGAGCGCACCCTTTTCTTGCAGAAGCACCACCTCAGAGCCGATTCGATGCCTTCAACAGCAATCGGCACCAAGGGCGTCATATACTACTCACAGTTTTCATTATGGTTTCCGAGCGGCTCTATTAAAGGAAAGCCGCGGACGTCAGCGTATTTTGGCTCGACGACTGACGAGCGTATGGTGCCATAACTACAAGGAGGCCATCATTGCTCATCACGATGAGAGGTCCTAAGTAAACGTACAATCGGGCAGTGCTTGGACAAAAGTAACACTGAGACTCGGATTCAGTCGCTTCACCCTTCCTTTTGGAGCCGCGCTTTCATTTGTTCCAGACAATTGGAGCGCTGTCCCGTGCCAACGACGATGATTTGTTTATCGCCAAAACCGACATCAAGGGTTCGCACTCGTTGAAAAACATGGTGCAGGGGTCGAAACACTGACTGGACACTGGGGCGGGCCGGTGTGAAGGAGGGACCCACTTAACTCAAGGTCGAAATATTTTACCTTACTTTTTTATCTGTTTTCCTCTTCGTTTAGTTCAATAGAACCTTCCACGTTTTGAATGAAATGACCTTATCCCGCACAACGCGTTATTACGAGAGCGCCGAGAGCGTACACTGTTTGGTATGCTCTGATCATCATCAGAACGGTGCGCTGGTAATGAGTACCTGATTGATAACTAGGACTAATAGTTATCATTGAGCCATCGGCAACTATTCTGTTAGATACACAAACTCGCCCCGTAAATTGTGATGCACACCTAGATACAGGGAGTATTCTACCACATCCACCACCGTCTCGCACTACACTACAATCAACTAAGAACGAACCACCCCGTTCCACTCATACTACTCCACTCGGATCGCTCAGCTGTCGCCAGGCGCTGCTCCTTGATGTCTCAGCCCGGCTTCGAGAGGCTGTCTTCACTAGGATGAGCTAGAGTGCGCGCAAAATGTGCCAATGGTCATAGGGCATTTTTGAGGGAAACGTAGAAAAGTAAGCTGAAAGTAGCTTCACATCGGTCATATGCATAACTACTCCCCTCGCTAGTAGTTCGTTACTTTCAGCCGGGTGAAGGCCGCACTATTCATTCAATGACCGCAATTGTGATATGGGAATACGCAGTAATAAGGATGAACAGTATGACGTCAACTTGTTACCCCGATTGTTAATCTCAAAGAACTGTTCCACTGCCGCGGACCTACAGTGAGTGATGAGGACGCAGCGGCGGTTTCATTCCAGTTACAGACGGTACGTCCAAGGCGACTTTCTCATCGGAACCGACATATGCAACAGTCTGAAACGACAGGCGATTCATTGTGTGTAGGACGAGCCTGTCGCCTCCATCGTTTTCCAGTTGCCCAAGCATGCGAAAAGCAAGACATTCTACTCCCATTGTATGCCCTTTCAGGAAAGAGACACATGCAGTCCATTTGACAAGGCATGCACTTTGCCGCTGCGTTGCAATTTTATGCATGATGCAATTACCGAGTCCAAGTCTTCTATGGCTTACGGTACTTGCAAATGTTTCAAGAACTTTCTGTTGCTATTTAGTTAACGAATTCTCTGCTATTTCTGTAATTTTTCGAAGGGTCTGACACAACTTAGCGCTGGAGAAGGAGAAGAAACGACTGTGAGCAATGCACAGCCCGGCATGGAAGAAGTAAGTGTGAAGAAATCATCTACTCACGAGACCTTTGTTCGCATTTTCAGCTGTTCCTTTCGCTTTTTATCCCCTGTCAGGTTATTGACCATCCTCACTTTCACTTTCAATTCTCGCTACCAGCGACTGATCGCGGGGTTTGTCTTCAAGTTTCTTACATTAGCTATTCGGAGGTCCGAGAGCAATGAGTTTGGAGAATGGCTGGGAATCTTCAACAGTTTCACAACCAAAGAATAGGTAGACAGCGATCCCGCAAGCAAGACCAACCTCAGCGCGCCAAGACACGTTCCGTGGTAAACAGGCTATAAGCTCTCAAATGTGCCATATGATCTGAGGCGACTGTGAACGTTGTGCTACTCACTCTGCGTTCAGGACCAAGGACCAGGACTCCGCGTGTGGGCTCTTTCATCTACCGGAAGGAAAAAATGGCTATCGTCCTGTCACAGTAAAGGCCCCGGTTCTTATTTCCTTTACTTCGACTGACAGCCTATTCTTTCCCTCTTGTTCCCAGTATTCCTTTTCCTATGCTTTTGTAATGTTTAGCACTTTGGTTTGTTTTCAAATCTTCACTGTGCCATTTGCTGCGTATTTCAAATTGTTTCCTATGTCTGTGGCACACCCTCAGGTGTTCTCAAATAAATTAATAAATAAATAAAGAAAATCCTGCTAGAAGCTGACTAATTAGGCCCATGTTAAGCCCCAGTGGCTAGCTACTAGCTAGTAACCACTGCAGCTATATCAGCTCTCTCCTTTCTAAATGGTAGACTAGGTGATTGGAGGAAAGAGCTGATTTGCTTATAATAACAACGAGCGGGAAAGACTACAAGCACGCCTTCTCTTCTTTGTGGGTACGTCCAAGTTGGGATCGGCGTGGAGTCCTCTCCAGGACATTGGTTTTTTTCCTATTTCTCTCAATCAGCCACTAACAATTTGTCGTTCGGATTTGAGCTCTCACCCTCCGTGTATAGTCGCGGGCTTTGCATTTGAGCGATAATTAACCTAATACTTGACAACCCTGCTTTTTGATATTTTCTACTGTGACGAAAGTTGTGGCCATTCTAATAGAGGGTGAATGGCGCCACTCCACCCTACTCTGCATGATTTCGCAGAATAGCGTTCTAGAGCAACAGTGAAATGCAGGAAGCAAGCGCGGCTTCAAATCTCGAGCTTTTCTTCATTAAGACACACGTGAGAAACCTCCAGCACCAGTGCGATTGTGCACTACGGGGATCATCCGTGACTACATGCTTGATTTTACTGCGCTTTCCTTTCATTGCGTACATTCGAATTATGTGATGAGCCTTAAGGCGTGCGGTGGAAGAAAGAATGGTGAGGTGAGTTTCACTTACTACCCTTTTTTCACTCCGATGGATGATGAATGCTATTATGATTTCAGTGGTGAGAAAAAAATAGTGAGTACCATTTCAAGTAAGCCTGAGCTTACCAGCAATTTAGCGCATAACCAAACTGGGTTGCACAAGAAACGAACGTTTGTTTACCTCTTCTAATCTATTATAGGTCCCAGCTATCGAGATCCGCCTGCGTCTCCTTGAGATCACAAAACCCGTGCCCTAGACGTTCATCCTCCCGAAGTGCACTCCTCATATGTCGTGTTGACGGGTTTACTCTTTTTTATACAGGAATGCGTGAGAAGATGGCTGAATTCCCACCTCGCGCAGATTCAGCACATAGGATACGGCACATGGCTGAGAAACATTTAGCCAGCACATCATGTTGCACGGTGAGGTTGGTACCAGCATGCTTTTGGAAAGAATATCGATCTGACCCGTGATTCTCCAGAATTATTATCCCTTTCGCTTAGAAAGGCGCCAGCCCAATCATTGCCTACACAGAATTATAATGACCATAGACATAAAAGTATTGCATGGCGTTGTGCTCGGATTTTGATCCTCGTTTTGGATGCGCCTGTGCAGTTTTCGATCAACCTTGCCCAGTTTTTTGGCAGTGAGCAATTTTATTGTCGAAGAGGTACACTCGATAATGTTAGCACTTGTCCTCGCACTACTAATAACCGGATTGTAGGGCATTGATTCAACTGTCTCGCCTGTGGCTGTACGATCTGAGGAAGTCGTCATCGCCACTGGTTTGCAGACGCAGTGAGTAAAGATATGCTGCTCGAGTCGCCATTGCATTTGGATGCTATGCTAGGGGTTATGTAGGAGACACCTGAAGACGACCGCAGCAAGATCGCTTTTCACCTGAATTGACTACGCCACCGCGAAGTGAAGTTTCAATGGACAGGGCATTAACGTTGACGTTGACGACGGCATTAACGTTGGCGTTGACCGACCAGGTCCAGAAGGTACCCTTTACTGGCCGCGAACGACTTCTTATTTGGCCGTATGGGGAGTAATTCCTCAGATCGATCATCACCGAGAATAAAAAGAGAGTCCGGTATGATAACAAAGCGCAAACGGCCTAGTGGCAGGCCGATAAGATCCAGGCATGTCTTGTGCCCTTTCAAGTCTTCATCATCACAAACCTTCTCGAATTAATTTCACAGGAGTTTGCATAAGTTTCTCCTTATCTGTGAGTTCACTCTCCTGCGCTTTCGCTTTCAGCATTACTTTCTCCATTTCGTCTTGGTCGCCCGTCTGAATTGCATCCATTTTCTGAAAGATTCGATATTGTTATCGTTTTTACCGAAATTGTTTTTAAATGTCAATTTTCGAGTAACATAAGCTTATGCATGAACACATTCGTACATTTATCTCTCAATCGCTGATCAAAACCGAAAATTTTTTCGCAGTATCGTCACTGGCAATGCAGAAAAAAACGTTCTCAGCTAGCTCCGCGAGGGGGCCAGATTAGACGTGCGTGAATGATCAGACTAGCACTTATCAGAAAACTGCCTTCCATTGCGACATATTTCGCCCGAACACACATTCTACTAGAATTGTTTACTCTACTAGCTAAATCGCCCACGGCAGTGCTATTAGCGGATCGCAGGCCTGTATCCACAGAAGTACGCGCGTATGGAGCACCTTTGATCTTACGTCCGAGCTTTTAACAAATCAGTATAGGTGCAAGAGAAACTACTCCATCGCCTCCGATCCCTGTTCATCCTTGAACCCGAATAACGGCAAGCACACAACACGTAACATATTTCTAATAAAGACAGTCTAGTATATTGGGTTGGCCCATGAGCAATTGGGTTTTTTCTCGCTGGAAAGCTCTACTCACAGCTCGTCCACATTGGAAGGAAAAATCTCCTAATAAAGCGCTATTTTGGCAGATATTCGTCTCTGATAGTGACGGATGGCTGAGGCAATCCGAAGAAGTCTGCACAGATCTGGTTTACAAAATAAGTAAACTACCTTGGATATGTATTTCAAACAATACCGTGCTTACAATCGACTATATGTATGTACTATATTACATTTGCTTTATTATGACGCCCATCGCTCATACGATGGGCCTGATAGTAAAGTAAAAAAGTTGTATGTACGTTTGACAAAAAACATGACTGTATAAAACCCAGATCAATCTATTTCAACTACTGTCTGCAGCAGCAACTCCGCATGTTATATCGGCCGCCCTCCGAATTTGCAAGATTAGAAAGACATGGCTTATGAAATCACGAATATAAACACCATTCATCCATTCAGACATAGAAATTCAAACACAATCAAACCTATACTGGTCCTCTTTTTCACAAAAAGCAACATAGTGGCCGTTATGTGACAGCCACACTGAGGTATGTAGTACTGTGTGGCGAAAAGGTGAACTCACCTTCATTAACGGATGGTTGACTCCTTCAGAGTTTAAAGTCTTCTTGAACAACTTTAGTCGTTTCTCGAGCAGTTTTCTGGCTTTCTGTTTTTGTTTCAGTTTTCTGCCTTCTTCACTTATTTCGCTTATTATAGTCTGCCAGCTAAAAGAAGGAAAATACAAAGCCTGACTGTTGCCCATTGCATGAAGTTCTGACTATTTCTCTATGTTTTGTTATCTTTGAGATTCTTGTTGTATCTTTTTATACAAGTCAATAAGCGCTTTCGCACCTGACTTTTCTCTTGGCCGGTTAGCTTGAGACAGCCTCAAAGTAGTGATTGAACGAATAAATGTAGAAAAATGATGATGATAAAAATATAATAAATAATAAGTAATAAATGATCCCAATTACAAGAAGAGTTAACTGCTCGGCGTACCTTTTGTAGTCCTTATCCTTATTCTTCAGCAAGCGTACCGTATGAACTAACTTCTTTGCAAGTACCGCCAGGAATGACTTTTTGTTCTCTGAATAATGCAAAGTGAAGTAGGCTTGCATCCTGTCCCCCGTTTGATCCTTCCTGTCCCCCGTTCAATTTTTCCTATCTCCTCCAGCTAATATCATTATAGGAGCGATTCAAGCTTCTCACTTACTCATGCTCCACATCTGAATCAGCTGCCATTTTTTTTAAAAGTGGCTCTCGATCAAAGACATTTCCGGCAAGCTTATAGAGTCTGTGATTGACTAGAGGTGCACTTGTTCAAGATGGTCGCAGAAATCGGTTTGTCGTTGAATGCTCCTTCATTCAGTCTCAGTAGCGCGATAAGAAGGCCGAAGCCTTATGGTGGAAGCTTTTCACGCTTATGAGAAGACTTCACTCAGGAGAAGTTCTTAAAGAAACACTAAAAACACTATTGCCAGCTCCTCTCTTCGTTGAACCTCGGCATTGTTGCTACATTTGCTGACTTCTTTAGTTTCGATGAGCTTGTTAGGAGGGGCTCTTTATTTATGGGCTGATGTTTCGACTAGATCATCTCCAATAGAGAATTAGACGTGGCTCACGGTTTGCAATTGCTCCCTCTTCATCCGTATGAGATGTCGCCTCTCTAATGATTCTGGCAGACTCAAAATGAAACAACCGATCAATACGAAATGATGAGAAGATTCACCCAACCTACCACAGCAGCTGAAAGTGGCTGTGCTATTCTTATATAGAAGCTATAGTCAGGAATGGCTCCTTCCACCGTTCACATCAGTATCGCGCAATGAGGTGAAAACGGCAAGGGTCATTTATTATGGCTGAGGACACAGTGTTGTTGTTCATTCTGAGACTCCTCACGGAAATCCAGAATGCCGTTAGGCATTCTCTGGCAAAAATCTCAGCCTAGCGTGTCAGGATGCACCTCACATCAAATTGTAGTGTGCTCTCCGATCCAAGCCTCCAATTCTTTGCCGAGCGGTGTTCTTTATTACGCCTTTCATCAGCAAAACGCTCCTTGACACGTATTTCTAACGGTCTTTCAGCCTCCACAATGTACATTGCATTACATGTCTGACATTCTGTCATATAGGTCACCTCACTTTTGGCGCAGCCTCCACTAGAAGCTTGAAGACATGTAAGGAACTGCCCTGATACGCAATACCTGCCGAGACTTCTGTAGCGCAAGTCAGCGTTCGATCTTATCGTTATAAATACTCATTAACACAACATAACTGTCCAACTGTGCTTGAACAAGACATCTTTGCTTTGCGGCAGTCACTTTATCATATGTGAGTGGTACACATAGCGCTTATTTTGGCGCAGCAGGGGTCGGATTAGTGTGAGTCCTTCTACGATTGATTGGTACAGAGTACCGTTTTATACCGCTTTCAAGCACCTGTGTTAATAGCAGCAGTAGTGTAGACTCTCGGATTTCTGCTGGATGTGTTTACTTTTCTGCCATCCTGAAGATGTTTCTAACGACTGCATGATTTAGGGAGGAAGGATGAGCAAATGCGACTTGAATCGTACGTTATTGGATAAGTAGGCTCTTTGAAACAACTACGCAATTCACGCTTGAAAACAAGCTGCAGCTAGTGAATTCATTTTTCAATATAACTGCTTCGAATATCCTGTACCTGTAACGACCGCGTGGCTTATACCCGTCGACGCACCACGAAAGTCACACCAAATAAGCTCTAGCTACGTGTACCATTCATATCTGATAAAGTGACTGCCGCGATTCAAGAGATGTCGCTTTTGCGCGCAGTTGGACGATGATGTTGTATTAGTGAGTATTGCTGATATGATGATCAAACGCTAACTGGTTAGCAACAGACTATGATAGGCAATGCAGACCCGTGGCTCGATATGGTTTGAGTGAAGATTGCGCCAAAAGTGGTGTGATCTATCAGACTGAACGTAATACATGTAAAGCAACCTACATTGGAGAGGCTGGAGGACCGTTAGTAACATGTATCAAAGAACATCTTGCTGATGAGAGGAGTGGTAGTATAAGTAAACATCAAGAATCATGAAGCCTCTTACGTTTGCCAAAGATCGACTTATTGCGTTGGCCTTCCGCGACCGCTGATGGTTTCGCTTTGCTAACATCAGAATCCGACAAAAACCACAAAAATATTTGATTCAAACCTTCTCCAAGAGTGTAGTGATCCATTTGTATCGGTTTTGGCATCGGTCTCAGCATGTCCTCATAGGATCGCTTTGCTCGCATTCTGAACGAGCCCACCCAGCCATCGCCTCCTGGTATATACTCCTTATCCAATATAGTTGATGTCTAAATACGTGATACCGTCACACAAATGACTACAACATTGCTTCAAAATTTCAAAGCATTCTCATTATATTCACAAGTGGCAGTCAAAGCACAGATTTCTGGGAGACGCATGCAAATGCAACATACCATCCGCGCCCCATCATTGTAACTTCTCTCTCGTAAGTCAGCTGGAGCACTGCACTACTTTGAAATTTTATTACCTGCAACGTGCTATGTCATTGTCAGCAATGTCCACCTACCACCGTGCCGCTTGGAGCAGAATGGACTTGTCGTCCCTCAAGTTCTAAGTCCGACACGCCATCTCGTCGGTGGAGAACTGTACTGCATTTGGTCCCCATAGCAAGACCCAAATATTTTACGATCTCCCTCAACTTCTGACAAAACTCCGGCTCTTTCACGCGCTACCTGTCGGAATGCAAGGTACCCACCTCGTGGAAAACCAGCAAGACTGTGTTGCTGTACAAGAAGGGAGACCTGTACGACATTGGCAATTATCGCCCATCTGCCTGCTGTCTGTAGTCTACAGCACAAGTCATCCTAACAGGATTGTCTCTCACACAAGTCATTCTAACAGGATTGCCAGGACACCAGATAAAGGACAGCCATGCGAGCAAGCAGGGCTCTGCAAAAAGACAGTACGATTGATCACGTCCAGGAGTAACGAGTCTCATCGGAGTA